TTTTTTTTGTGTGTAATGGTTCATCTCGCACACACCGATTTATGAAGGGTAAAAATCATTGGAATTCATTCGTGTTTTTGTGAATTTTGATTTGAAATGTTGAGAGAATCGACGTTCTTTGAAATGTGTTCGGAATTCGTGTTTTAACTTCACAAAATTTGTATTTTAGAGTTATTCTTGTTCGTCATTGCAATTCACGATCCCTGCTCGTGTTCTATCTGTATTTTTCCGAGAACTGATTTAGTCGTGCATTCGTGTTTTTTCCATGTAGACGGTCACTGCTATGATGTGAGAAGGTGGTGATGTTAACCGCGAGAAACAATAGTTGTATTTGTTAATGTCTAGTAGTATTTTTCTCCATGTTAGAAGCCCGTTCCTAGGCCATGACATGAAGTGTTTGAACACTGCATATAATCAAGCTTGAAAATATGGTGTTTGTCTTTGATGCACTGCCTAAGAAAGGATCCCGAGATTTTTAAAGAACAACCAGTACAGTAACGGAGGTATACATATATAATGCTATAAAATATGTTTATAAATACAAAAAAGAATTAAATATATATATAAAAAAAATACTATAAAATATGTAAAAAATGTAAAAAAAATATTTACAAGATATTACTAATTAATACTTATTTCTATGCTACTTATATTTAAATGAATAATATATATTATTTATTTATTGAATAATATACTAACAGCCGTTATATTTTTCAACTTTGTAGATAAGCTTTTAAAAGTATTTATAATGATTTACTCTTTGGGTCTCTTAATTATAAATCGATTTAGTGATTTATAAAACCGAGTATTTATTAGTTGGTATGTTATATTTATTACTGTTAAGTTAATAAGTTTTTAAAAACATGATGGTACAAATATCAATATTTATATTTATAGTAAATACAATCTTATATGAAATAAGTGTTTCGACTTAAATTTCAAGCTCGTTATTTAACATTTAAAATCGGGCGCCCATGAATAAAATTTTTGGATCCGTCACTGAAACTCAAGTTGTATTTAACAACACACGTGTTCGGTAAAATGTCTTGCCTAGAAAGGGAGGATGATTGTGTTATACTTAGGTGTAGTTGTCTATAGTTTATCATTTCAGTAGCTCATTCCCCAATCAATTAGAACAAAGTGTTGTTTAAATCCTACATGAGTTATTTTATTTTATTCTAAGTAAGGACTTCTTATAAAATTAAACACCACTTATTTAAATATGAAGTGTATGCCTGTAAATTGAATTACATGTTGGATAGGATTCCATTCATTATATTTATATGTGCAGAACTTTGTATAGAAGTTGTAGCTAATGGGAGTACGGATTATTCGATAATACACCATGCTAAATGAGTTTAAGGACTAATGGATGACATATATCTATAATAAAATGTGTTTATTGTTCATCTACATGTCTAGCAATTTAAATGGGCAACAAGAAATATAAAAATTTGTGTGTCTGTTCTTAACGAATACGTTAAAAATAACTTCTAGGTAAATGTATTCAGTTTCTTTCTATTAAGTTTCGATTGGACTGTAAAAGTCATTGTTGTTTTCAACTTCAGTCTGTGACAGTTGTCTACTTGATATTTTTTTTTAATTTTCAGGTAGTTCCCTTATGCCCGAGCTCGCTGCAATTAGAAGTTGAATTGCATAGCATTAAAAACACATAAAGTACATAGTTGTTTAGTATCTTTTAATAAACAAGTTGAATTATATTGTATAAATCATGTGCCCGCATGATTTAAATCTTTGTTTTCTTACTATCGGAGTTCCTGAAGACCTAGCCCTACGCTGGTCGCCAGACTTTTTATTCTACTTAAATCTTCTAATCGTATTCTTAATGATTTGTGATTCTTTTTTGATATCATCGGTTGATTCTCCGTTATCGGATTCTTCGTTTTTTGTACGTTACCCGTCGCACATCGATATTTGATCATACACTTTGAAGTATTGAATTTGTTCTGCGACTCCTTGACACACATGTAAATTGATTCCATACAATTTGGAATACCTTTTCTATTGTTGATCAACAAATGCAGGTATGTAGTGAAATGTTTCTCTAAGATCTTTTTCTGCCAATGTCGTCCACATGTCACATATGCACTAAGGTGGCATTTTTTTGCCCTAAGATCTTT